TATTTATGCATATTGTGAAACCTGCTGCAAAACAAACTGAGGCAGACTAACTGTGTTATTTAAAGGTTGCATGACAATATTCTGCAGGCTAGTGCAGGATAAAATGGTTTGTTTGCTGTACTGTGAGATGGATTTACAGTAAAGAACAGTGAGTTGGACTGGTGCACAGTGGCTGTGGTGTTTATGGTTATAGCTAGGTTACATAAAATGTAGCAGAGATTAGTAAGATTTTTAATTGATGCTTATTCATTCACTGAATTCCACCATTACACTAAATTCATACTGTCTAGTATAAACCATCTAAGTTGTCATACAACCAAGTTTAGTATAAAAACAGTTTACTGTCATTATAGAGGATGAAAAACATCCAAGACATCTCATGAAACATGAGCAGTAAACCTCTTTCAAAAAAAAAAAAAGTCCCCTACTTTTTCGAGGATTTGTATCTCCTGACTTCCTACCTCTGCACAGTCTGTTATGTCACAGTAACTCATTTAGAGTTGACGTTAACTCTCTTTCTTGAATGGAAAACCTAAAGTTTTCCTTATTCAGCATGAAAACATTTTGTTAGCTAAACCGCTTTCCAAGTTTAGGGCCAAAGTCTTAAAATTAAATAAATAAAGCTTCAGATGAACAATAAGTTGACACCATGATACCATGTTATTATTTATTTTGCAAAAACGAAACAAAAAAGCAGAAGCAGTGTGTGCAAAGCTAAGTAGCTAAGATTCAATAACTTGCATGACCACCTTTAGCAACAATAACCTGAAGTATTGCTGGTAAATGTGATTTTCTGTATGACTTCATCAGTCTCGCACATCATTGTGGAGTAATTTATGGCCCACTCTTCTTTAAAATGTTGCTTCAGTTCATTTAGGCTTGGTCTGGACTATGACTGAGCCATTGCAACACATTGTTACTCGACTATGAACTCTTCTGTATACCAAAGCATTTTACAGTGAAATGCTAGGCCTCTTGTCCGACAGAAAAAGCTTGGCCGACATTGGGTCATGCAATAGGACAATGATCCCAATCACACACTTACAGATCTACAACAGACGTGCTGCAAAGCAAGTTCAATTCAACATCCTTCCACCACTATGAGAATGAGGTAAGAGCTGTTTTAACTGATTTGCAATCCTAACCCATGTTGCTATGGTTTTTTGAGAGAGAAGAAGCTTTCTCCTGGCAACACCAACTAGCAATAGTCTCTTGCAACTTGGGGATGAGGGGAAAGAGAAGTGTTAAGAGAGGACCACAAAGAGACAACAAATAAACTTCAGAGATTAGACAAAGCTTGATAACATCCAATAATTGAAACATCAATTGCAGTTTATACTTGCCATTGTCATGTTTGCACACCAAAAGTGATATTATATCTACTAGCCAGCAGTGTTTTCTGGTGTTGTTTTGGCTTTTGGCACACGTTCCAGATGCCATTTTTCTAAGATTTTTGTGTCTGAGTACAACAACCTCAGTTTTATCTTAGTTTAATTGGAAAATTAGAGCTTATGCAGGTCTTATGTTGTTATGACATCTCTGCAGTTTATGGATGGATGCTATACCTTCGGATGATACTGCCTAAGGGAAGCATGTATGTTGTAAACAAATTTGGTCTTAGCACAAAACCCTGTGGAACTCCATAATTACCCTTAGTGTGGGAAGAGTACACAAAGGGATCGGACAACCAATGTCGTGATATAATAGATGTAATACTATTGACAGAATAATTGATCTCTGTGGGAGTAGAGTTCAAGTATCTGCTCTGCACTCCATTGGCACATGGCATTGAAGAAAATAGCAGTGAAGGAAAAGAAAAAAGAGGGAAGCGGAGAAGAAATGTTTAGTGCATCACGTTAACTCCCGCCAGCAGCCTCAGCCTATAGCAGCTAAACTAAATAATGGTACAGGTTCACCTTTGAGAAACTCTAGGAACCACAAATAAGCCTGCAGTCTGGGAGAGAAGTGCTCTTTTAGATTAATGATAATAGGATGGTAATTTGCATATGATCTTTTTTTTCCTACCAGTTAGTAAAAACTGCTGTGTTTTGGATCCAGTGAAGACTTCTTAGGGAATCTTTGGAATCAGTTAATAAGGAATTATGGTAGTTCAGCCTAGAAGTAACAAAAGCATGAACTACTTTTTGGTATCACTCTGAAATAGGATATTTCTAATCTTGATTTGTTGCAGAAAAAATATGATGAAAGAAGGCATTCCTAGACATTTGTTTAACTGAGTCCAGGTCGAAAATGACTCCAAGATTCCTCACAGTATTACTCGAGCCTAAGGTAATACCTTCCACACGAAGCATCTAGTCAAACACAATTTTGTCTTGTACTTTTAGGGCCAAATACAATAACCTCAGTTTTGCCCCAATTTAAAAGGAAAAATTACACTGTATTCAAGACTTTACATCTTTAAGACATACCTGCAGTGTATTAGGGCATTATCTACACAGCAGTGAGATGACCTTTTTTTCAAGAATCTGTCAGATAAATTAAATTCTGAAGTCTAGCAGGATACGCACAGAGAAGACTTTATTGTCATACACTGTAGATCATTAGTAACAATCAGTGGTGCTATTCCTGTCCTATGATGTAATCTAAATACTGAAATTCTTCAAATAAATCTTTCCTCTGCAAATGATCACACAGCTGATTTACAACTCCTTCGAGAACTTTTGAAATCAAAGTTAGTTTAGAGATCTATAGTTAGCTAAGGAAGCTAAATTAAGTAAAAACTTTTTAAGTAATTCTGTAATTTCAGAATTCCAGCCACTTTGTGGTATGTAACCTGTTACTAAACATAGTAAGTCTTGCAGGGATAGTATCCAATAGACATGTTGATGATTTGAAAACTATCTCTACCTCAGAGAGACCAATAGGTGTAAAGCGGTCTAAATAAATATCAGCAGGATTACTGAAGTTGTACTTCACAGTTTATCCAGAACTTTGAGTGATTACTGTGTGTTTGCTTATAACCACTTGATTTGATTTTGCAGAAAGCACTTTTGATAGACTATAATCTTCAAAAATTGACCACAGAGATCTTCCAGCATACAGTGTGAAGGGAAGGGGGATTTAAGTTTATGAATCTCTTGAATTTAGGAGGGAAAATGCTCGTCCAGTCAGCAGAGGCTTAATGCAGCTTTTGAAACCTCCGTTAGGCTGACATGAGCTTCAGTGGGACTCAAATGCAGATATAAAGCTGCTGATCCAGGCTCAGCAGAGGAGACAACCCACGAAAAGTGACTTCAGTTAGCAGAAAACAGCATGAAAGTGAAGTGTGATTTAGTCCAACTTGAAAACAAACTCCCTTTAGCCCTGCACAAGGTATTTCTTATATAATGATCTCAGTGTCTGAGAAGATAAACTTCATTTAACAGTCATCAAGAAGCAGAAATGTTGCTTGCGGAGCTGGAATATAAAATAAGTCAGCGTTTTGATGATAGAGCTTCATAAGAGCTGTGATGTTTGATACGAAATCATTATCTTGCCATGCTTTGATGTCAGCTCACATTCAGCAGTGGTGCCATCTCTTTGAAGCATTTCAGTTTTAACTAGAACAAAGCAAGGATCATTACTGCAGTGCTAATTCACTGTACTCCTGATTCTGTGGCTGATGCTAATGAGATTTTTGTTCTTGTTTCTCCAGGGACTATCCACGTGGATGTGCATGACAGTGTGTTCTCAAACCTGAAAATATGGTAGCTCACATTGCGTCACAGGACAGTCTTGGAGTGTTTCATTGTTTGGGCTTTTTAAATTTGATTTTATGTTGTTATATTGAAACCTTTAAAGAGTCCTTTACAGACCCATGGTTAATGACTTCAAAATGTATAGAACATAAATTCCTGCATTTATGTGGTACCTGTGGCTCAGGAGCTAGATGGCTTGTTCCCTACACACACCCCTGTGGGTGGTCTTCTATCCCTCAAGCTCGGGTCCTCCACCAGAGGCCTGAGAGCTTGAGGTTTCTGTGCAGTCTCTTTGCTGTTCCTAGGACCGCGCTCTTTTGGACAGAGATTTCAGATGTTGGTCCTGAGGTCTGCCACTCGCCTAGCTGGGGGGTCACTGCACCGAGTGCTGATTACCACTGGGACCACTGTTACCTTCACCCTCCACATCTTCTTGAGCTCTTCTGTAAACCCTTGGTACTTCTCCAGCTTCTCGTGTTCCTTCTTCCTGATGTTGCTGTTATTTGGTTTTGCTACACATTAACATGCCCATATTCTTCTGCTTGTCCACTACTATGCCCAGTTAGCCATCACCAGTTTGTCCGTCAGTTTGTATGCCCTGCCTGCTAGCATCTTGCACCCTTTACGCATCTTTACGCAGCCTGCACCTGGGGTCTTGCCTGGTGTGGTAGACCCCAGCCTCTATGGATCTTGTGCTCAGAGCTCGTGTGCTGCCATGATTAGTGCCTCTGTGCTGTCTTTCAGTCCTGTGTGTGTGTGTGTGTGTGTGTGTGTGTGTGTGTGTGTGTGTGTGTGTGTGTGAACTTTGTATGAATTGAATTAAATGTTAACCACTGTTAACATTCAAAACTGGGCTGAACATCCTATATTGTAGCTGGTGGACGTAACACATAATACATTTGAGTTAAATGATTTAAGTTGGGGGAAAAAAGATTTTGTTGATGATCATCTTGACATTTATTTTACTAAAATTCAATTTGCATTCTTTCTATTGCTTGCTAATAACTGCTATATTGATTGGGAGAATTAATTTCTGTTTATAAAAGATACAGTGGTTTCAAAATTTTCATTTTTATTCCGCTTTTGCCTACTTCATACAGAACACCCACCCCCTCCCCTTCATGAAACACCTATAGGAGACTACACAAAAATAGCATCCATGGTAGAGCTCCAAGGGAAAACTCACTTTGGCATAACCTTAAACAGGCTGTTCATGTCATTCCAAAATTTCGCACAGCAAATTGTAAATGACTCATTCCCATGTATCCCAAACTTGGTTAGCAGTTCCTGCTGTCAAAGGTGGCACAACCAGCTATTAGTTTATTAGTTGTAGGGACAATTACTTTAAACACAGATCCAGGTAAGTTTGGATGACTGCTGGAAACTGACATCCCTCTTGTCAGCCTACAGCCTGTCTGAGCTTCCTCAACACCTCCTCTGGACTGAGAGAAGAGTCCACTTTGATGACTTTGTCTCTGGACCTGGACCCCTAAAAAATACAGACGAAAGGACTTAAACGATATATGATACAATGGGATAAAACTTTGCTCACCCTAAAAAAAGAACCTTCTTACTGTGACAGTGCACCATCATGAAGCCACAGAATGAATGACAATGACAATTTGGCCCAATTTGGCAGCTTAAAGGTTTAGGAGCACAAAAAACAAAGTCAGTGTCACTCCTCTATATGGTCCCTGCTGCATATTTAGATCTAATAATAAGGTATCTATATAAAACATATATTGTGTAATACATTTACATTTTCAAAGTACACATGTGTACTTTTGGGTACAAAGTTAATTTACACCCCTGGAGCTGACACCATTTAAAATTCTCAGTGCATAGGACAAGTCACACTACAGTAATGGCTGTTTAGTGTTACGACCACTATCGAGCTCGTTCTTCAAACCCTACCATACCCACAACATGCAATCTCTGCAGTGAAGCCCCCAACAGACAGTAACAGTGACACAGTGCCATCTACTGCTGCCTGCTTACAGCTGCTTACACATACTCAATGCAGTATAGAATGTGAATACTGTGGTGTAAAAAGTGTTTTTGCCCTTCCTGATTTGCTATTTTTTGTATGCTTGTCACACTTAAATGTTTCAGATCATCAAACAAATCTAAATATTAGAAAAACATAACAAGTAAACACAAAGTGCAGTGATTTCTCCCTAAACCTAATAACTGGTGCAGCAACAACTTTATCAACAACTCCCTTAACAGCAACAACTGCAATCGAGCGTTTGTGGTAACTGGCAATGAGTGTCTTACGGCGCTGTGGAGGGGTTTTGGCCCACTCATCTTTGCAGAATTTTTGTAATTCAGTCACATTGGAGGAGTCCTGAGGCAGCAAAACAGCCCCAGACTATCCCACTACCACCACCATATTTTACTGCTGGTATGATGTTCCTTTTCTGAAATGATGTGTCAGTCTGATGTCAGATGTCATGGGATGCACACCTTCCAAAATGTTTACCCTTTGTGTCATCAGTCCACAGAATATTTTCCCAAAAGTCCTCAGGATCATCAAGATGTTTTCTGGCTAAGGTGAGATAAGCCTTTGTGTTCTCTTTGGTCAGTGGTATTTTTTTCTTTGAACACTCCCATGGATGCCATTTTTGCACAGTCTCTTTCTTACTGTTGAACAATGAACACTGACCTGAGCCTGCAGTTCTTTAATGTTATTCTGAGTTCTTTTGTGTTGTCGATGTGCTCTTGGAGTAATTTTGGTAGGCTGGCCACTCCTAGGAAGCTTCACCACTGTTTCATGTTTTCGCCATTTGTGTATAATGGCTGTCACTGTTGTTCACTGGAGTCCCAAAGCCTTAGAAGTGGCTTTGTAACCCTTTCCTGATATATGTCAGTGACTTTGTGTCTCAGGTGTTTCTTTAGATCGTAGCATGATGTGTTGCTTTTTGAGATCCTTTAGCCTGCTTCATTTTGTCAAACAGGTTCCATTTAGTTGATTTCTTAATTCAACAGGTCTGCCATTAATCAGGCCTGAGTCTGTTTAGTGAAACTGAACTCAGCTTTCAAAATCACAGCTAAGTCATCATTTAAATAGTTTAAATTACTTTTTCCACACATGACCAGATAGGTTTGGATAACCTTTCTCCATTAATCAATTAAATCACCATTTAAAAACTACATTTTGTATGTACTTAGGTTGTCTTTGTCTAATATTAAAATGTGTTTGATCATCTGAAACATGTAAGTGTGACAAATATGCAAAACACTAAGAAATCAGGAAGGGGGCAAACACTTTTTCACACCACTGTATGTAGTGAGATATGTACATGAGTGACGGTTTAAGTAAATATTAAGTGAGAAATGCTTAGTGACAAATGTCAATGTATACAGAAATACTCAAATGTGTACTGAGATTGCACCAAGATTCCACTTATAAGTTTCAGCAACCTTGTCCAGACACACGTGACTTTTCTTCAGGCCCAGAACCTCAGCCAGGTAGCGAATAAGCTCAGCATTGGCCTCTCCATCTGTAGGTGGTGCTGAGATGGCAACACTTACTGCCTCTGTAGAAACTTCTGAAAGCATGGCAGAAGAGATAGCAGTGTGATTTGTGTTTCACTTTGTTCATATCAACAATTCTGTTATACAAACACCTGTGATGCTGCTGTGTTTGGAGCCGGGCTTTGCATGAACTCTTATGGTTACAGCACCACTTTTGTCTTTGGTTACTGGACCACAGGCTTCTGCTACGGCCGCTCCTCCACAACCTGCCAGCTGTTCTTTCACCTGGTTTAACAGCACAAAAGAGCTTAAGTCAAACATTACTGGCTCTTTACATTCATTTTCTACCTTTAAGTCATCTTACAGTAAAACAATTGGGAATCTAGAAATAGCTTACACCATAAGTAACACACTTGACAAAATCTTCAACCTTCCTTTTTGATTTTTCCTGCAGATCATATGAGCTTTCTAAGCTTATAGGGGAGTTTGTTCACAAGTGTTTTTATAGTAGTGACATTATCCAAGTCTCTCATGCAGCTGATACCAGACATTGCATTTAAATATCCTGTTAGGAACATTACAAAAGACTATAACACACCACCATCTTCTAGCTTCATTATTTGCCAGTCTTGATGCATGCTGAATCATCCAGGTACAGAAATCCAAAAAAGTGGATTCTGTTCATCTGGACGTAGCGTTTTCAGTGGGAGAAACATTTCATAACTCATCCAAGTGACTTCTTCAGTCTGAGCTGACTGCAGGTTTCCCCATCAATCTTGTAACAGATTTCAAGTTTTACACTTTTACTACTGTTTACGTTCACTGCTGCCACATTGGATCAGTAACACGGGGTTGGTGGAGCTGCTCCTTCTTTCAGAGTTGGTAATTCTAGCTGTTGGGACTGGAAACTCAGAAATTCCATTCTAATCTGGAGTAAGTGGAGTAAGTGTGCTATCACCACACAGCTGTGGAGAAGTGTTTCTATGGCGACTAAAGACAGTAAAATGAAGAGGAGTGAAAACCCCTGCTGTCTGCATCAGGTAGAGAAACAGAAAGGATAGAAGACTAGAAATTCAATCTCAGAGAAAAGCTTACCACGTGAAAACTAGAAGTTGTATAAGAAGTATTCTGTGGGAGCAGCAGCAGCAACTTCCCAAGTACAAAATACACATTTTTCACTTCTCCAGTGTGTATTATAAGGACACAGTTCCAATATACATGTTCAACAGACAGACAATAGACAGCATGTTCTTCTTCTTTTCATCCTAAATATGGGAGCTGTTCTACCTTTTTGGGTATTTGTCTGTTCATGAATTAGTAAAAACAAAAAACAAAACCTACTTTTGTAAGGGTTGAATACTACGACTAATACTACTAATACTACTAATAATACTAATAATAATACTAATAATAATAAGAAGAAGATATTGTGACTTAATGCTGTTGCACTGGCACACTTAATAACAAAGGTCGCAACAAACGAAGAAGCCCTGCACTCAATCTTTAAACTCCTTAAAATTCAAATCAAACTGTTTGGACCTTTAGCATAAACAATGTCCATCAAAAAGATGGTTGAAAGAAGTACTTACTTTACTTTAATTGACTCATATCAATGAGAAAATGAAGTTAAAAAAAAAAATCTATATACACAAAAGTGGAATAACCGCTCTTACCTTTTTGGGCATTTGTCTGTTTCTGGAGTAGTGCCTTCTGTGCAGGGCGACACCGGGCAGAGGGGCTCTGTACCGGCAGCTGAGCACCAGCACAAGGTTGGGTAACGTTACAGCCTTTAAAGTGACAGATCTAGCCTGCTGCAGAGACGGTATAAATTTAACACGGTAAAGACAAGCTACGGCAAGACCTGAACAGGAAAACATCTACCGGCTACCTGTTAGCTTGCTAGCTTTTTGATGAATTTCCGGTTTTCAAAATAAATTCTTCCGCTTATCACAATCTTAAATGAGTTGTTATAAATGATAATAAATATATAGATTTTTTTATACTTACATTTTCTGCTACTTATCAAAGAAATGCATAATGGGGCTAGTTGGCTTACAAATGTAAGCATTTAATTCATACCAGAGCCAGAGAACACATTTATTTAATAGACTTGCATATTTTAGCAAAAATAAATAATATTTTAAAAAAGTACGGGGTGGTGCGACACATACGTCCTGTCTTGCTCTTCCTTCCTGCAGCACAATCTGTGCTCGTGTGTAATGGAGGAACAGGAGTGACAAAATGATTTAATTAAATACGCCATTAAATAATTAAATGTTTCATTAATTAATTAACATTTGAATTTGTTAATTAAATAAATAGTTCAATAATGAATTAAATGCCCATTCATTTCATCTAAATGCAAATTCACTTCATTAAATAAAATATATTTATTTATTTCTAATGTTATCTAATTAATGACACATTTAATTAATTATTTATTTATTTGCTAGTTGCCAGGGAATCAAAACCTTTATCCTTAGAGATTTTGGGGGGGCTCCCATTAAATGTAGTTTCTTTCTTTCTTTCCTTTTTTTTTTAACCACACATGGCTGAGTGCTGAACAGGGGTGAGTGCTTGATGAGATTGGGAAGAAACAGGAAGAACCCCCCAGTAGAACCAGAGTCAGGGAGGGGCAGTGGGGGTTGAGGGTGAGGGGAGGAACACTATCTGAACACTGTTACAGAGGCTATAAGAGATAGCTTATCAAGCATTATTGTATCCTAATTGCCCCTTGGGGATAAATAAAGTCTCTCTGATTCTGATTCTGACTCTGATCCAAGTTATCAACTCCATTCTTAGTGCCTCACAGTCTGTCTTTTTTAAAGCTTGATGTTTGATATTTGCACTTTATTGATCAGGCTGCCGCCACAATGGCTCTCATATAGGCTCCTGATTCTGACCCAACTGTCTCTGTCTCTTGGTCTGTTATTTTTAACCAGTTTGAACCTGTGAATCTGGCGTTCATATAGAATGTAATTCAACATATTGAGCCTTCGGGTTCTCCCCATGATGTTGTTCCTCTTCATCTCTCAGAGGCTCTGTATAGTTTAGTGCAGTTGGTTATTGCCATTATTAATATCAGTTTGTGTTCTGGTTTGGTCCCTTCAAACTTTAAACATGCAACAAAGCAAAACCTGGCTCGACCAAACAGTGCAGTAGTTAAATCTAGCTTCTTTCATTTAAGGCGGCTGGCAAAGTTGAATCCTCTTTTATGATGTCTGGGCTGGATTACTGTAATCCACTTTATATTGAAGTTAGCCAGTCTTCCGTCTTACTTTTGTTCAAAGTCTCACTGAGTGTCTTTTGACAAGAACATGTAAAATTGAGCAGCTCTTGCCCCACCTTACCTTCGAGCTGCTTTAGCCTGACACTCTTGTCCAAGCTCTTAGGTCATCTGACCAGTACATATACAGAAATCTAAGCAGAACCTCAGAGTGTACAAAGCATTCTCTATTGCTGCCCCTAAGTTACAAGGGGCAATAAATAAATTGCTTTTGCACAACAATAACTTGTGTTGCCCATCTTTAAAAGTCATCTTAAAACACAGTTATAATTTTTGTCTTGAGATATTGACTTTATTACTATGTGTATGATGTTATGACCTTATTTTTATTGTATTATAGTTGATTGTTTTTGTTTTTAGTGTTTTGAAGATGTTTTTAATTGATGTTTTTGCGTTTTTATCATTTTCCTTAATTCTCTATTTAGCACTACAATACATTTTGATATGTCAGGAAATAAAATTGGCATTGCAGGCACTAACACTATTCCCTCACAGCAAAGGTCCTTTGTCAGAGGTTGGGGCGTAGCAGTCAGCTTTACATCAGCATCCTTTCTTGCTGATTAATATTTACTTTAGTCTGCTTAAGCTGTAAAAGTGAACAGTCACTGTTTGGTGGACGAGGCCAATCTAATCCAATTAAATCTGCTGTACTGTGCCAGACCAGGAAGATCAATCTTGTAAATTCCATCCTTCTGGATCCAGTTCATGAAGTAATTTGCTGGGTCATTGACTGAGGCTCTTATTAAAATCTGTCCTACTTAATAAGAAAGCCTTTAAGCATTTTATTTTAAATGGAATGACCACGAAGTATTCTAACAAGTTTTAGGGAAAGACCTTATTACTTTACCTTTAACTTGTCCAGTTACTTTTGAAGCTAAGAAAGTAGTGAACTGTATAAAAATGGCTGTAATTCCTAATATCATAAAAAATGCAATAGTCCTCCAGTCCACATACTGAAGTATCTCGAGTGAAGATTGTGAACGCTGAGTTGCCCCCAATGCATCCATAAGAGTGAAAATGTGTGTGTAAAACTTAGAAAGGCTGCATCACACTCATCTGATCAAAAATAAGTGATCAGTGTATCCAAAAGCACAAAGATTCGCAACATAGATTTAAAATTCTAACTGGGTAGCCACCAGCTAGTATTGAAGCTGCCAACTCTACAATCCTCCACCTCAGGAAGAGCATAATGGGGCTATTATGCTTGCTATATTGCCTGTGTCGCACATCAATTTTGACATCACATCATGTGTTGTGTGACAAAATCACATTTTGTAATCTGGCTTTGTGTCCGCTGAAGCTGGGTTGAAGACAGATGTGTATGATCGAGTCAGCTTTGACCAACTTTTTAATGATATTCCAGTGCAGAGACAGGAACATACAGATACACAGAACGAGATGTTGGAAAAGTTTGAAAATTTGAAAAAACTTAATTACGGCAGGTAAACTACGGCCTAAGATTCCAGCATCTAACTTTTAAACACCTGTATTCAGACTACTCATCTGCTTAATCTTTGAGCTATGCAAACCACCCTAATACCCATCAATAATTTATTTGGGCACATCCAGATATAACTGACTAAAATTGTTCTTCAATCCATGAAATGTTATTTAGTTTAGCAGTTTAGGTGTGTTGGACAGGAGTTTTTTTTTTTTTTTTTTTTTTTTTATGTGCTTCCTGCTTCTACAGTGTGGTTGACTGCCTCAAAAATGACATTCATGTCATCACCATTACACAGGATTAAGGACATTCCCCATTGCCTGAATACATACTTATTTGTGAACATATTTTGCTTTTGATTTTTGATGTTCTGACTTCAAATCAAACCGATGGCCCCTTATGAGCAAGCATTCATGACAGTAGGAGGGAAAAACTCTCTGTTAACACGAAGAAACCTCCAGGAAAACCAGGCTCAGGGAGATCAGCTATATCCAGCAAATGGCTGAGGGTGAGGGGAGGGATACAATATAAAAGACACACTGTGGAAGAAAGCCAGAGACTAATAATAACTAATCATTAAATGCAGAGTGGTGTATAAACACTAAGTGAATCAAGAAAAGAGGAGTGGAAGAAACACTCCTAATGAGCCCGATTGCAACAACTAAACGTTAATGAAAAAGAAAATTTTACCAGTATAGGAGAAATATGCTCTCTCTTTTTTGCCCTGTCAGTATTCTCGCTCCAGCATTTTGGAACAAATAAAGGTTTTTCACAGTTTTTAGGACAACTACAATAGTCCAGTGTAGAAGTAATAAATGCATGAACTAGTTTTTCAGGATCTCTCTGAGATGGGATGCTTCTAATTTTAGAGCAATGCACAAATGCATGAAAGCACCTGCATATTTGCACATTGAAGTACATATCTTGGTAAAAAAAACAAAACAACAACCAGTGACTCAAAGATTCCTCACAGTGTTGCTGGAGGCCAAGTTAATGTCATCAGAGTAAATACATTTGTCTGAAAATCACAAAACTGCAAAAATAACTGCAATACAATACAGCTCTCTGACTTCCCTGAACAGGGCACTAATGTTCATGGTCTTTAGGCTCAACATAGCAGAAGCATGCAGAACATCCAACTACCTTGTGGTACATTTCATGATTTCCGACAGTAATATCGATAAAATCCATTCACGATTTTTCCATAGTTTCATCTAGATCTGGGTCAGAGAATGGCCATGTCTGTCTCTTTCTTTTCCTTGTCCTCCTTAATCTTGTGCTTCCTTCATTACTTAATCATGATGCTTAAATGCATAATGATAGCAGTGCTTTAGTAGCCGAGTAGGGAAGCAAAGAAAGAAAGAAAAAGAAACGAATTATGATTCATGGTTGTAAAGCTGCAGGACTTTCACATCATCACAGAGAAAACATCTTATCAAGCATCTCACACTAAGTCAACACAACTATCACATCACCTCCTCCTCCCTGTCTCCATTTCCTTTTTCACTGGCCACCCATATGCCACTTTCAAAACCCCCTCCATGCCCATCCCTTTTCCCATCCCCAGCCCACGCCCCAGCCCTTGCTCTCCCCTTTTGATGAATAAATGGCGTCTTCGTGTGTGTATTGTACAACAGAGGTGGACTGTACCACTGTGAATGTGGCGGGAGGCTTCAGGGAGGAGTGCTGCAGTGAGAGGAGAGGAAGAAGGAGGAGACGGGGCAGCTAGTAAAATCCCTCCCAGCCCTAATCCCTCAGTCGTGCCTGTGTATGTTGATGCTCTTTACATTTTTAGGGCAAAAAGACTAGACTAGATTTTTTCAGGCTACAAGTGAATTTTAAAGAAAGATCTGGTGTGTGACTGGGAGCTTCAACTCGTTTTGTCCTGGTAAGAGAAGTCATTTTTCTGAATGTTTCTTTATGTTATTGACTTAGATTGGAAGAGCTTTACGTTTTGTTCATTTTAAAAAGTAAGATTTCCAAATATAGAAATTTTCAACTGAGGTTTGGACTAAAAAATACCGTAGCAATCTTTTTAAAATGTTTTTATTGCATTTAATATGAAATATTACAATTATCCTCTTCTTGGTATAGTTATTTTTCTTTCAGATAAACTGAAACACAATCACTTACAGTACTCCTTCAAATTCCAGACTGAGCAGCACAAACACTCTATTTATTTCATAATTTGTATGTAAAATATGTGCATGTACTACATGACACCACCTTGTGGCTTTGGACTGTTTTAAATGCTCAGTGTCAGTACAAAGTTATCAAATATTGTTTTCAAGCTTGGTTTGCATTGGTTATACATAAGCTATACAGGTGCAACACACATACACAGACATCCTCTAATTAGTGCTAACAAGGAAACTAATAAGATACTAGAATTTTACTATATATATATATATATATATATATATATATATATATATATATATATATATATATATATATATGTGTGTGTGTGTGTGTGTGTGTGTGTGTGTGTGTGTGTGTGTGTGTGTGTGTGTGTATATATGTGTGTGTGTGTATATATATGTGTGTGTGTGTGTGTGTATATGTGTGTGTGTGTGTGTGTGTGTGTGTGTGTGTATATATGTGTGTGTGTGTGTGTGTATATATATATATGTGTGTGTGTGTGTGTGTGTGTGTGTGTATATATATGTGTGTGTGTGTGTGTATATATATATATATGTGTGTGTGTGTGTGTGTGTATATATATATATACACACACACATATACATACATACACACACACAGTACAGAAACATCTGTGCCAAGTATGGCCTGGAAGTCACGAGGTCTAAATGGGAGACGCCCCTATGGTGGTGAAGAACGGCTGAGCTAAGATCCTGTGGGACTTCCAAAATGGTGGTGGCTAACCAACCGGATATAGTGGTGGTAGACAAATGGAAGAAGATGGCCATAGTGATAGATGTAGCGAACCGAATGACAGCAACATTGGGAAAAAGGAACACGAGAAGCTAGAGAAGTACCAAGGGCTAAGAGAAGAGTTTAAGAAGATGTGGAAGGTGAAGTTAACAGTGGTCCCAGTGGTAATCGGAGCACTAGGTGCAGTCACTCCCAAGCTAGGCGAGTGGCTCCAGCAGATCACAGGAACAACATCCGAGATCTCTGTCCAAAAGAGCGCAGTCCTAGGAACAGCTAAGATACCCTGCAGGACCCTCTAGCTCTCAGGCCTCTGGTAGAGGACCTGAGAGGTAGAGAGTCCTGCATAAAGAAGGACCCTCTAGAAGGATAAAGACTGCTTGCAGGGACGAGCGGTAGTAGGTAGTAGGAAGTTTTATAATGAGAGAAAAAAAAGAAGTCTGACCCTTAACCTCCTAGGACCTGGCATCCACATACATGGACATCACATTTTGGGTTATTTAGATTAAAATACTCAATTTTTCTCTACATGGGCCTGATATCCACTTACGAGGGCATTATACTGCTACTGTTCTATCAAAATTTTAAACGACTCTCCTCATATGTGGCTCTTATTTTTCTTAAAAACAAAAATAAGGTTGAAAAAAAATCTGGTAATTCTTTGTTTTTACATTCATCGGGTTCCAATATGCCCAAATATCAAAGAGAAAATAAAAATGCATGTCGTGGAAGAGTTCGGGTCTTAGGAGTTTAAAGGAGAAGCATGCAGAAGTAGACACTCTGGGACTTATGATGTAAAAAAAAAACAACCCATAGTAGTAGTAGTAGTGATAATAATAATAATAATAATAATAATAATAATAATTATAATAATTATAATAATTATAATAATTATAATAATAATGATAATAATGAAATGAATTCCAGCTAGAATTCTGTTTTGCATTAAAACAAGTTTAGTGAATAGCTTATTAAAAATTTGCAATCAATTTTGTGAAGTTGTAATAACATATTCAATAAATATTTAATTTGTGACAGCCTTGTTCAGTTATTTTGAAATCTACAAAAACAAAAAACAAAACAGTGTTTCTATTTCTTTTAAAAATTTAAATGAATGTTTCTCTCTGTGCTTTACTTTCAATTAACTTTATGCAGTTTTTTTGCATACAACTGCCTATGTACATCATCTGCATGCAACATACACAGATTCAAAGTTAAACTTATACACATATATAATGATGCTTATGTGCATAAAAAAGCAGTAATACTGTACATGTAATACTTAGTGATAATAGAGATGTGGGACACCAGTAACAGTTGAAAATTGAGATAAAAATGAAAGTTAGAAGGAAAAAAAGTCTCCTCCGTTTTGAATCAGTAGAGTGTGTTTTACCCAGTCTGTGCTTCTATCTCTCTCCCTCTCTCTCTCTGTGAGTGTGTGTGTGTGTGTAGTGGCTTCCTGCTGTACAAAGACACACGATGCATTATTAATCTGGTGTAAATGACTAGGCTTGATGCTGAAGCTTCCTCTTCAGCTCCCTCTCCTCACATCTGTCATCACAGGTTTGAACATAGCTATGTTTGTGTCTTATCACAGTTAAACAGTTTATATCTTTATTTTGGTTGTCATGATGACAGGATGCTTGCCATGTAAGAGGGATAGCTTCTATATTATATTGTTAGATGCCTCTCCACTGCCCTGAGGGGAAGAGAATTGTGTGTGTTTTCATCCTCTGATCTCAGTTTACAGGAAGTAGAGTGTTTTAGAGGCTTGCATTGTGTTTTCTGCTGACCTTGAAAAGCTACAGAGTGCACACTGAACGTGTGTGTGTGTACACACCATATGATAAAATGGCATGGGTTATTAAATTTTAAATATAAAGACTTGGACGAAAAGGATTACTTGAAGTCAGTGACTGCTGCTTGTTTGTGGGTCTTCTTGTATTTAGTTTGGTTAAAAACTGAAAAACATGCTCTACTGGGTTCAAAACAGTTGGCCACTGAAGAATATATAATTTCTTTCCCTTGAGAAATTCTTGGGTTGCAATTGCAGTAAGCTTTGAGTCATTATCCATTTGTACTGCAAAGCACTGTTTTTGCAGCATTTTGCTGAATCTCACAGAGATAGGTAGGTAGGGCCCATGGCCCTACTCCAGGAAGTAGATTTTGCTAACAACTCTGAGTCTGTTAAACTGGAGATGAGGGAAATTCTGGTTTGGTAAATGGTAAATGGACTGGTTTTTATACTCTCTGAGCACTTAAAGCAACTCATTGCCTCTTGCTTCATTCACCCATTCCCACCCATTTGCACAAGCACTTCCCCCCCCAATGCTCTTTCTCTTTAAGTGCTTTCTAGCTAACATCTTGATACACGTTCAATCATCCACAAACGAGCTAACTTGTCCCGCCAGGACTCCAGGACTGTACACATCCTGGACGGGGAGGAACACTGGTTTGAGCGGGGAGTAAAGGAGGCCATTTACATGAAAATCGAGGAGGGGGCCTAAGGGTACATCTTTCACCATCTTGTGATGCTGTGATTGCAGCCATTCCCCAACTCTCTGTGAATGATACTCATGGCCATTGATCAATGAGCTTTGGTCAGTGGTTGTTGATCAATGGTCATGACAATTTGCATATTAATGATCATGAAAGTGACCTCATGGCCCATTGTTAGTCAGTGGTGCTAGTTTTCATCATTATGCAAAAGTACTGTTTATATTGTTGGGTAAACCTGCAGTCAGCTGAGACTGAAGAATTCACTTGGATGACGATGAAACGTTTCTCCCACTGAAAATACTAACAGAATTAACTTTTTAGGGCAGCTAGCGTTTGGTGTCCAGCCTTTCTCTGTAGGTATCTTCACACCTACTCAGCTCCGGCTTCACACTGTATCCTTCTCAACATATCCTTGATCCCAGAGATAAAGATTCCTTTCTTTTCATTCACTAGGATCTCCAGGTCACTGGTGATCCAGGGCCTGTTGCTGAGAAAACAGCATAGAGTCCTGATTGGGATAATTGTATACTCAGAGAAATTTATATAATCAGTGATGTAGTTTGTTATGTTGTTGATGTCATCCTCATGTGGATCACAGAGCACATACAAAGCACAACTGAGTGGCAACAGGAAGTCAGGAGCATGCTGTTAACCTGGTCCTGGTACCACAACCTGGTCCTGTTAACAGTAACAAGTGGGGTGAGGGCAGTGGCTCTATATTAAATCCTTGCATGTATGCATTCAAAAGGACCAGAGTTTTATAGCCCTTTTCCATTAGCACCTACTCAGGTCAGCTCGGCACAGATCGATGAGGTTTTTGGGGTTTTCCATTAGGTCAAAAGTACCGGGTACCTTTTTAGCAGCTACTGGCTGGGGTTCCGGCGATCTGAAAATGTGACATCAACAGACTTTATGCCATTGATTGGCTGGTCAGTGGCGTCAGTCAATGAGTTATGAGTGCATTTTCTTTATGAAAATCAAAAACGCTATTTTGAAACCTGGCAATGAAGTAAACAGCTGCACAGAAACAACACCATGGTCCCCGTCTGACGAAAAGCTACAGACTGAGCAGCTGGTATACCATCAGCCCAACGTCCACCTTTGTTGTAGTGTTTATATCCCATCACAAGATGTTCAGCCACGTTGCTATAACAACTCCATGCACATTAGATGGTACTCAAATGTAAATGAGAAGCTGAGTAGTGCAACCTCGAGCCAATCCAAGTAGGTCCTAATTGAAAAAGGGCTTTACTTTCCTGTGTTTTGCAGTCCACAGTAAACCTTAAATGTTTACGGTTTTACTAGCGTTTATGTTGAATGCTGCCATGTTGAGTTTGCTAACTGGATAGTTGGCAGAGTGGAGTCATATTTATATAGTTAAAATCAGCGCTGATGGTGATGAATGCCACTGGATGCCTACACTGTAGGTCGCGACAGTTGTGTGTCTGAGTTTTAGAGGTCTACAGATGGTGCAAAGTGCAGCTGCTCGCATTTTAACAAGAACTGGGAAATTTGAGCACATTAGCCCTGTACTGAACTCTCTTCATTGGCTACCTTGTCAGGTTTGAGCAGATTTTAAGATTTTTCTATATGTCTTAATTCTACAGCTTTTAGTTTTTAAATTTTTTATTGTTTTTAACTTGTATTGTGTCTCTTACCTGTATTGCTATGTATCACTTTTATTTTATTTATCCCTTTAGTTGTACAGCACTTTGTTTGAAAGCGCTTTATAAAAAAAGTTAATAATAATAATAATAATAATAATAATAATATTATTACTGATGTCGCTTGCCACTGCTCCATGGTGGTAAATACTGCTCACTAATAGTGCAGGAGAATTCCTGTGGTAAATAATAGCCTCAGCTAAAAGTTCAGTTTCAGGCAACCAGAGATATTCCTATGTGCACATGTCCTGGATTGCACCACCTTTCATTAAGAAGCACTACAATGTCTTCTTGTTTCTTCTTACTGCTCAGCTTGGTGTCTCTGTCAGCCTGAATAATGAAAAACCTGCGTACGCAGCCATGTCTCTGTGAAGTGTAGCAGACTGCACTCACTTTCCTCTCTCATGTCTTATTAGCACCCACAGCTTGTCCATCATTCTAGCCTTTGTTTTGATTCCTAGCAGGGTAGATAAATTCACTATCACTAACAACACACCATAATATTTATGTTTTGGTGCTTAAAAAACACATCTACGGATAGAGACTGATCAATGCTCTGCATATGGCTTATTGAGTGAGTCAAAAATACACAACAGTGGCAGTACAGATGAAAAAGAAAAACGTTTTACTACTGTTTATGTTGCATGCTGCCATCTTGGATTGCTAGCTCACTTCAAATCTGAGTTGATTTCCGACTGGGAAGTCGGAATTTCCAATTTCTGAGTCGTTCAGGAAAGCACCATAAATGATGGATAATGAGCCAAGGAAAGCAAATCTAAAAGAAAGGCACAAGGGACAACAAACTTTTAAAATAAAGAAGAAAGTTTGAAAAGAAACCAAATGGGGAAACACAGTCATACAAATGAACTTAATACGCAGAGCAGAGTGCTCATCAGCAGTAACCACCTCCATCATCACCACTATCACCACCACCATAATCAGCAGAAAAAATAAATACGTTTAAAAAAGCATATTTTGGTAGGTAAGGTCTTCTGTGTTCCAAGTGTCACAGTGTACAATAAACTAACCAGTTTTTTTGTTTTCAGGAGTGAAGAGAGGACCTTACAGGAATTTGGAATTACCACTAACAGCACCATAAGAAGCACAACATGGAGCAGAAGTTACTGATGAAACAGACACGTTTTGTTTTATTGGGACAGTCACACCTGAATAGGCTGCACTGCAAATCATACAGACTGATGGTGTGATGTCATTAATAGACCTTTATTTGCTATTAAGTTTAAAAACCAGTAAGTGGAGTAAAGTGACTAATGACCCTGAAACTAGTTTTTAAGGGTAGTAAGTCAGTATGATTAACTAAGAACTCCAACTGCTATTTTATGACAACTATATTTTTCCCTAAAATTCAGAACTGACATAATTAACAAGCCAAACAAAACCTTTTATTTACAGTTATATTAACAGTTAGAAAAGCTGGTCTAGTAGGCCAAGATGGCTGACCACTACCAGAACAACATATACAACCAAGGAGACTACCCTCTTCAGGAAGACGATGCAGCAAGTGATGTGACTGAAGGACATGATGAAGAGGATCAGATGTATGAAGGAGAATATCAAGGGATTCCACATCCTGATGACACAAAGGCTGCACAGAGAGCTGCATGGTGAGGCACTGCATATTTAATGTTTCTGGGCACTCTCACTGTAGAGTGGTAGCTGGTGGTGAGGGGGTCTCAGGAAATCTGAAAAATGGATCAGTCATAAATGGATTTACAAGTTTGTGCCATATCACAGAAACTAAATAAAAAGGGCCACTGCACTGGAGTTTAAACTTTGTTTTATATTTAATAATTGTTTTACAGTCTGTTTAAATATTAGTGTACATTTTTTAGTATCAAAATATACTGAAAGTGTCTGAACTAAAATGCAGAATCATATATAATACTGGATTATAATTATTATTCATTATTGTGCATATTTCTTTAATGTTGCAGAGGGAATATACTGCTATTTAAGTTTATCTGTAATAATAAATAGTATATCATTAAAATCAGCAACCCCTCCCCCAAACTAAACGTTACTTAACCCTTTCATGCATAATTATGACAGCCTCAATTAGGATTTTTTCTTAAGTATATATATCCATCTTTAGGCATGAAAAGGTGAATAAAGTACTTAAGAAAAAAAATCCTGATTGAGGTTGTCATAATTCATGCATGACAGGGTTAAATAACAATAATTACAATGAAACACGTCATATATCTATAGTAACATTAAACGACCAGTGGGTGGCAGGGTATGGAGTGACACATCAGTGTCCAGTGTAGTGGTTTATGTGCAAGTATACCATCAACACTGACACAAGTACAAGAAAACAGCCTTTGAATAGCTGTCCACTGTAGTGACCACTATGCATGAAAGGCTTAAGCTTAGATAAGAAAAAAAAGTCAAAACACTGTAAATACAGGAATGCAAAAATTAAACCTCAAAAATTGGGCACAAAACCTAATAATTTCCATGATAGCATATCTGAGAGTGACAGCAATAATAACCAGATATAGGGCAGGGATAGCACAGTAGGTAGCGTGGTCACCCCATGATCAGAAGGTAGGGGGTTTGAATCCACTGAATGGCTACCCTGAAGTACCCCTGAGCAAGGTAGCGTCCATACACACTGCACCCCGGGTGCCTGATTTGTGGGCGCCCTCTGCAGAGAGAGTAATTTCCTCAAGAGATCAATAATGTATTCAGTATTATCATATATTCAGGACAGTGTAATCAGATCTGGTTTTCAGTGTAATCAAAGATTCACATTTTCTTTTGTCTTCATGGCTTCTTCCAGGGCTAAACCTCAAACAGGTAGCAGTGCAGCATCTGATCTAGAGGAGTTATCTGAGCAGTATGAGTACATCATGGAAGAATGTGGTCATGGGAAATTCCAGTGGATGCTCTTCATAGTGCTGGGCCTGGCTCTAATGGCTGATGGAGTTGAGTGTTTTGTGGTTGCATTTGTTCTACCGTCTGCAGAAAAGGACCTGTGTCTGTCCAATGCAGAGAAAGGAATGCTGGGTAAGCATTAGCTGTAGTGATTGTTGTTTAGAATAAGCACAATCCGAGGTCCCTTCCTTCTCAATTTGAGCACTCAAAGTACTTCACACATTCATACACTGCCTTTATCTACCTTCACACACACACCCAACTCACCTGTTAATGTATCAGGGACAACTGGGGATTCAGTATCTTGAATACTTTGACACATTGACAGGAAAGGATGAATCCTCCAATTTTCCAACTGGTAGATGACCCACTCTACCCACAGGTGCACTACATCTGTGTTGTTCTGTCAAAGCAAGCAGTGCTTGTCCAGCCGTATTTGGACAATGAGGCAGTTTTGTATAGTGGCTTTTAAATCAAAAGTGGAAGATGTAATTGAAGTGAGGACTAATTCAAGGGGTTTAACAAAAGCATTTCATTAACTGTTTAGGGAGCTACATTAATTTTCATAAAAAGCTCCACATCTCAGGGATTCATACCCAGATGAGGCCTGTTCCCTTTATATTATCAAAAATGTAGAAAATAAAAGATCTGGAGTATATTCCAGATCGATTAAGTGTATTTGCTAGCTTTTTTATAAGAGTCATTTTATAATCAGGTTCTTAGGTGCTTGTACTACTTCAACAGTGTGCCTTAAACAATGCCAAGGTGCCATAACATCAGAAATGATTTTTTTCCTAATGCTTCACCAAAAGCATTATTACTTAAGCTGGAGAATATTCGTTTTCCTTTTTGCTTGCAGCTTTTAGCTGGTAGTTTTTTCTTGCTGTCAACCCAGGCACATGAACACAGTAAGTCTGTTTGCCTTATCACAATAAGATGTTGATGTGATAAATGGGCACCACAATAGATTTTTTTTTATACACTCAGAAAAATAAAGGTGCCAACTGGAACCAAAAGTGGTTCTTTAGACTGATGCCATAGAAGAACCTTTTTTGGTGCCACAAAGAACCTTTCAAACAATGGTTCTTTGAAGAACCATTTCTTTCAGTGGTTCATTGAAGAACCTTTAAAGGTTCCCCAAAGAACCATCAAGAAATGGTTCTTTGGGGCACCTTTAATGGTTTTTCAAAGAACCTTTTTAAAAATGGTTCTTTAAAAGAACCATTTTAAAGAACCTTTTTTGAGTGGTTCTTTAAAAAAACATTTTAAATCTTTCAAAATAAAATGCATCATAAATTGAATTTGAGTAGGGTAAAATAAATACGAGCACAGCATAGACATATATTAATGGTTTATTGTCATTTTGTAGTAACCAAAAGACAAAAAGGCATTTTAACCCTCAGCACAACATCACTACTAATACATGTCATATATTAGTGTTTTAAACAGTAATAATAAAATATATTTGCTATACTATAAATAAATATATATAAATACTATAGCTACAGATAACACAACAAATAATACATGTATTGTTTAATTAATAAAACATCAGAAAGTGATAAAACACATTAGAAATAGCAATAGCTTCATAACAGACCAATAAATCAACACATTATCAGCAGATGTTTGCATGTTCAGTAAAAATATTTCAACAAGTTTATGATTAAAATGATCAATGAACTTTAGCATTACACTATGTAATGTACGTTTCATGTTGTACTCATGGTCCTTTGTTAGTCCAGTTTAGGACAATGTCTCTGACGTATGTATCATATCAAATATATGTCATATCAAAACAAGCCCACACCTGCAGTTGTTTCAGTTTTTCACTGGTGTTTCCTGTCAGCTGGTCAACCTCTCAGGCGGACATCCATATCAGCCAACCAAACGACAAGCTCCTCCCTTTGTGCTTCAAATCCCTCCCACTCTGAGACAAGGAGCTGAAAGAGAGAGAAAAGAGTCAATTATAAAGAAGAGAAGAAGTGAAACCTCCTCAGAAGGTCTGACTCGCATACCTGCAGTTGACCTGTGATGGACTCCAGTTTGGCGTTCACATCATCCCTTGCTGTTGCCAGCAGCCGAGTCTGCAGGGTGCCCTGGAAGAGCTGAGTTAATTCTCGACTCCTCCTGGTCAGGCTCTCCAGCTGGATGAGCCGAGGTCTCCCCTCTCGCCGCTGCCTCTGAACACAGAAACACAAATTGCATCTGAAGCAGGAGGTGCAGATTTTTTGCTATTCTTTTCTAAATCCAGGCTAGATCACGTGGAGGTATTTGGAAAACTTTTTTGGCCAGTGGACGACTGTTGTCTTGCAGAAAGTCAAATCAAACATATGCGATACACAATCAATTCACAAGAACACATTATAAAAAATAAGTCCAGTTCTGCCTGATTTCAAATGAATTCTGCATCAAAACAGGGTGACAGAAGTAAACGAGTGCACAAAGCCTCACTTTGTACAAGCCTGCTATTACAGTTCTCCTCTATGCAGACGACTTTCCTGTTTTCAAGGCACAACTTGGATCTGCTGTACGAATCTTATGGATACACACTAAATGAAACAATAGTGTGCACGACTCCAGATTCTGATCCCTCATCCTAATATGGTCCCAACATAGCAACAGCAATAAAGCAAATGTTGAGGGTTCAAGTCCATAAACCAATGGCTGAAGTGGGTTTTATCATAAGGGTGATAAATATACAGATTTCAGTCTGTCTTAGAGATTTGATGTTCATTTACCTGCAGATGCACTATACGTGCCTGCTCTATGGTTTTTCACAACATTTTGCACATCACTATTTAATACAGGAAGTACGTGAACTAAAACAAGTCATCTTTCTTTGTGAGAGGACCATATTAATGAAACCAACCTCAATGACATCATAGGGATCCCTAAAGATGCTCCTGCTGCTTCTCTTCCTCCTCATCCTAAGCTTCCTTCTTCTTGTCCTCGCCTTCCATCCAATTGTAATTCAACCTAATTGTGTTTCTCCCCCTCCTCTTCCTCATTTTGTTGGAGCTGTGAACACAATTAATGTGAATCTGGATTAATTTGTGCAAACAAGAAAAATCTACAGCTTTTTGGTCAGAGGTGCTCTTGTGATTTAAGCCGGGTAGAGTAGATTTATGTGTTGATGCTACCTGCTTCAGCTCTGGCTGCTGAGTGATATTTACACCCTGGCTGGATTACAAACTTTAACCATGTGCTGAACTTTGGCCCAGCGTTGATACCTCTTGTTAGTATAACGACCTCTTCTTAGCTTGTATGTATGATGGTGGATAAATGAATATACAAAAAAATTAACTATATTACAAAGAACATCTATCTTGGAAACATCAATGACCGGAGCATAACTTGTCAACTAGTCCGAACTAAGTTATGCAGGAAGACACACCTTCTCATGTCACATTTCTATTCATTTCTATATAATTCGATTAGACAATAAAGAGTTATCTAATCTAATTATTCATTCAACTCTTATGCATAGCTGTATTTTATACAGCTCATACAGAATTCAAAGTACAGGTTCATGTGAGTATTTAATGTACGGCTCAGATCTACAGAATTTCAGAGTTTCTAGAGCAGACACAGAGCTCACATCACAACAGGCTTCAGGCCCATTTTAGTGACTTAACAACATATTAATTTTAATTTCGGTCTAGCTGACATTAGGTTATGTACGCAGCACGCAATTGAACCACATATTTAGAAGCCAAAGGTTCAAATTAGCTGGAGCAGCTTCACTTAATTATAACAGTGGTTTTGTTAGGAAAACAGTTGGATACTAAATTGCGTTGACCTCAACGGCTAACGTATCTAGCTAATCGCTACTGTTAGCACAACATTAACAGCAAGCTACAATGACGACTAACAAAAACAAAACAGTAATAAGGTTTTAATGAAAATGTTTTACCTTTTCTAACAGTCCAGAATCCACAGCTTCAAAGTCCAGCAGGTACTGAAGACTGTTATCCGTTTCGCTGTCACCGTCCGTGAGTTTTTTTTCCCGAAAGGTCAAGGCCCGCCGCTCGCACACTCTGTCTGCACATGCGCATCCCAACGACTGACCCCCTCCGTCCGCTCCCTGTAGGTTATAGTATGACGTGTTCTGACGTCACTCTCTCTCTCCCTGTCATTTATTTGGCTCGAAACACATATTAACAAATTGCTCAGTGATGAACAACTACTCAGATCATTTACCTAAGCAGTGCGCTTTGTCAAAACGAAGTGTGTGTTCATTACACTGACATTCTGTTCTGCAATTGTTATTTACTTGTATTTTATAATTTGACTTTACATACTGCTGGGTGGTTTGTAAAGTTTATTATTATCATTATGCTATATTTTCAAAAATATATAATAATCTCAAAGTAATGCCTTGGAGTAGAAAATAGTAATGCTTTATTAAAATTTAAAACTAAAGTACAGTATTTGAATGTGTGTATTGTGTCTACTGTTGCAAATATTTCTAACTTTTATTTGAATATTCAGTTTCCTACCATCTTCTCTTAAAGGGTAATTGCCAGGTATCCCGCCTTCCCTTTGCACACACATGCACACAAAGAAACACACAGTATAATTCACAGCCTCATTATAGTGAATAAATATTTATGCCATTTACACCATCAAACTTAGATTGCTAAGGATAAAGAACCTTTTGTTCTTTAAAGAACCATTTGTAATAGCTGAAGAACCATCCACAAAATAAAAGGTTCTTTGACGTATGATGGTTCTTTAAAGAACCATGAAGACATCTGAAGAACCATTTAAGAACCATAATTTTTCTGAGTGTATATATTGAAATGTTTCAGTGGCAACAGATTAAGATGTACCGGAAGGTGTTAGTTATTATATCACCGATGAGAAAAACCTGAAAATGACTTTGCAGTAGTCAACACTATATCCAGGTATCATACCAAGATAATTTGGCATTGATGAGAAATCTCATGTAGCTCCCTCTGCTGTGACCCTTTCAGCTACTGATGCAATTTTTCACCCCAGTAGCAAGGCTGAACGTGTAATAGACACGCCAGTCCACCGAGTCCACTTCACGCTTTGCCTCCTTAAAATGTGAAATGAATACGCATGCAGAAGTTGCATTACCTGCAGGGGAAGATAATATATTAGATACAAGAAGTCGTTAGTGAACAAAAAATGTCTGGGCTGTAAGTGAGGCTTTCTTTTTACCTCTGGTAATTGTTGAGCCAAATGACTCGAGATGAAAACGGTATTTTTCTGAGGAAAAGTCACCATGTGAATCAGGTTTTCGCTTGTGATGTTTGTTAGTTTCTATCAGTTTAAAATCTAAAAAGTAATAAAATCTTAGTTTGTGTGAACTGATGCAAACAGGAAGAATAAGTTATTCATGTCTGTAGTTGTTTGTAGGTCAGTTAATTTCTCCGCAGTGAATTTAGTAGTCAAGTAAAGTACTACACTTTGTTTAAGAAAGGTATTCGTGTAATATATGTAATACTTTACTTTTTTTTCTTTTTGAGTAATAACCTTAACAGCAATCTCAACAAAAGAGGGGAAATGCCTCCGACACACACAAACATTTGACAACGCAGTATGCAGTCAATTTACACAAATGTAATGTAATGAGATGCTGCTTAGTGATGGTGGTAACTCTCATTGATGAGAATGACAATCAATAAACGCTCGAATCAACAAGTGATATAGATAATCGAATCGGAATTGCTAAATTCTTATCAGTTCCCATCCTTATCCCCCACTGGTCACAGCATATGGCTGCTGCCTGAGCCTGGTTCTGCCAGAGGTTTCATAACATCAGAAATGATGTTTCCTGTTAAAAGAGAGTTTTTCTTTTTTTCCCTGATGTCTGAATTTTAAGGTTTTCTATTTATTAATGTAGGGTGCTTACCTTCCAATATAAAGCACATTAAGGCGACTGCTGTTGTGATTTAGTGTTTTATAAATAAAACTGAATTGAATTGCCAAGGTTTGATCGAAACCGATATTGTCTGTTCGTGTTCAGAATCAGTAGAGTGACACACCAATTCTTTTTGTACTGACCTTGAAAAAAGCATATGGGTGCTGCCCAGGTGTCCCTGGACCTTTGTGAAACAGATATTTTACACGTGGTGTAAAATATCTGATGATGAGTCACAGTTATCCTGTGTTGCATGGCCATCTGTACACTGGTTTAAAATATTGTCAGCATGCCAATCTGGCACCAATCAATGTTAAATGCTTGCCTAAGGCTAAAGCAATCTGCTCATGAAAGTCCATACCAAACAAGGTAAAGAAGGAATTTGATTTCATATATTTCTGCAGAGCATGTTTGATAATAGGTGTGTCATGGTAGAGTGTGATGAAGTGAGGAAAAAGCAAAAAAGTGATCCGTTTATTTAGGCTGGTATAAATCCATGGGAAAGAAAACAAAACCAAATTTAAGAGAAAGTTAAATAAATAAGTTGGGAACAAACAGCCAGAATACACAGTGAAGACACAAGCAAACGACAAACTGAGGCTTTAGATATACACAGACACAAAAGGCAATCAGGGAGGAGTAGAAACACCAGGGTAACAGAGATGAAACCAATCAGATGTGGTTTTGATTTTGAGTATATTGAGGTTTTGCAACATATCCTTAGTATTAAATAATTTGATATGGCATCCTCTATTACTTCTTCTTTGTGCAGGTCTCATCGTTTTCCTGAGCATGATGGTGGGAGCATTTCTGTGGGGAGGACTGGCAGACAAAGTTGGCCGTCGGCAATGTCTGATTCTGGCATTATCTATAAACTGTATCTTCGCATTTATGTCTTCCTTAGCTCAGGGTTACAGCTTCTTTCTCTTCTTCAGACTTCTTTCTGGCATTGGGTAATGCACACACACACACACACACACACACACACACCACACACACACACACACACACACACACACACACACACACACAGGGCAGTGGACACTCTTTCAATGATGAGATGTAATCATTATGCAAATGTACTGTTTATAAGGGGGAAACCTGCAGTCAGCTGAAACTGAAGAAGTCACCTGATGATGATGAAATGTTTCTCCTACTGAAAACGCTACATCCAGATGCACAGAACCAACTTTCTGGGACTTTGATTCTAAAAGCTTTGATTCTTACATTTTCAAGCATCAGAGTCCAACAAAGTTACATTGGCTTCAAAGACAGTTTCACTGATGCTGGTTAACAGGAGCTAACAGCAGCGTTACCAACAGTTCAGCATATCCTCAACAACTCACCTCAGTAATGCTCTCATCAGCCGAATTGAGCTTGTCTGACTCTCTGACTGTCGGACTCCTTTCACACAGTTTTAAAGCCTTTTTCAAAGTAAATTAGGGTGGATGCTTTTTACCCCACATTAACAGCTGAGGTAAACAGTGGACTGACAGCCATCCAGAGATAGGGATGGCTGTTGGATCTAGAGCTGGTCCAGACAGCAGCAGAAACACACTAAACAGCCTTATAAGCTAAAGTGTAAATGTAATATTTTGGTCTCTCTTAGTTAACTAAAACACATTTGTCCTATAGCAGCTACCATAGTGAAGATTATCATCTGAAGCTGGAGTAAAACACACCTTAGTTGACTGGAATCTCCTCAACCCAAGTGCAGAACATTTTTTTACACAGTGTAGAAATAAATGAGGTTCCATATTGAGCCAAATTGCATTCACATGGGACACATTTGTTTTCAATGTTTTTCTTATAATGGTCATGGCTATCTTTTCTAATTTAGCCAAGACAAGTGTGTTTTCTGTCAAATTAAGTTAAATTAAGTTTGCAGTTGCTGTGCTTTAACTTACGAAGGTGTCAAAATGGTGTAATTTAGGTCATTGGGTTAAAAACAATACACGTAAAAGACTTAAAAGTGTTTGAGAAAGAGATCTGGATTGTACTCTTGATGAGGGAGCATGGAATTCAATTATTTCTGAAAATGGGCTTTAAATCAGGGAGGCTAGAGGTAAATTTATCCGATATAAAATTCTCAGCAGGTACTATTACATACCAACAAGGTATGTTGGTAAAGATGACGTGTTGGAAATGCCAAGAAGCAAAAGGATGCTTTGTGGGAATGTCCAGTGGTCTTCCCAATATGGGAAATTGTTTTAAAATACATGGAGAGCTGGGACAAATGTAAATTACAGAAATCACCAAGATTGTGCCTACTGGGGGACAGGGGTGAGGTGCCACATCTAGATAAAGTGACACGTGTTCATCTTATTTTAACACCATTGAAAGAATCTCAACCCTGAATGTGTGGAGGGAGAGAATGACTGAAAATGTGGCATGTGGGAAAATGCTGGGAAGACTGAGCAGCAAAACACAGATTCTAGTAGAACAATGGGACAGTTTTTGTTTGTTTGTATCTACAGCATCCGGGTAAGTTATAGTTTGGATCAAGTGTCTTGTGTGTGCAACAATAATCAAGCACTGGTTGATCCCTCTGGTGTCTCTCCTGGAATTTCTAAATATGAACTTCTTAGATCAAATCTTCTGAACTGCTCATCTGACAGGAGACAAAGGGAAGAACCACTTATCTATTCGGAACAACCCATTGTGGCGTCTAGTCACCGTTGTTCACATCTATCACCCGATGTCCAGCTACATCCTGTTATCCTCTCTCTTACTTTTCTACATACACGATTTAAAACAAAGTTGAAACTTTAAAATCACTTCATTACATTTTCTTCTTTTCTATGTTGTCGTGTAACATGACTTCTTAGTAATTCCCATTTGAACATTCAGTTACATATGGATGCACTTCACTTCATGTTTCATTCATTTTATGCAATTTCACTTCAATTAGATTTATCGGTAGCTCATTCTCACATGAACATCCATCTGCACATCTTTTTATTTCAAATGCTTGGGAATACTTTTTCTCTTCAAAACTCTGTAAATATAATTTATTTTATTAAATCATACACCTCAAAGTCAAGAATTATTTTAGAGTTACCTTAGAGTCAGACAACCCACCCCAATCTTCTTACATACACATATACGCACATAACCTCCAAGGACACAGTCTCCACACGGTCTCTCACCACACGACTTGCATCCATGTTCCATTACAGTGATGTTGGTCATGTTTCCAGACTGACAGCACTTCAACTCCAGTGACGCTGAAGGAGGCCAAACTGAATTCTGGGGTGGCAGTGCCATCAAATGTCACCTTGTTGCGGTTTAGAATGTGATACAAATTTCAAATGAACTCTTGTTGCCTCCAAGAAAACGTCGGCTTTGCTCAGAATATCTTTACACATCTTTGCTCTGTGATTTTCAGTGGACGTTTTCTAAAACACAACCTGCTTTTGTGTAGCATCTGTTTTCTTCATTTTTTTGCTCTGGGGGAATATAATAATCTTTAAAATAATGTTGTGGCTGATTATTATTTAAATAATAATCCTTACTATCTTCTTTTCTGTCTTTGCTCTCAGTATTGGTGGCACAGCACCGATCGTGTACTCGTACTTCTCAGAGTTTCTTCAGATGAACAAGAGAGGAGAGCATCTGTCCTGGTTGTGTATGTTCTGGATGATTGGTGGGATCTATGCTTCATTCACTGCCTGGGGAATTATACCCAGATATGGTAAGACAGTTTTAAAAATGAAAAAGGATACTTTACATTCTTGCTTGTGAGCAATACTGACCAGTGAGTGCATTCACACCTTTGGTGGATGTGGTTTAGGAGAAAATGGAGCTAGACTTCTTATTGAAGAGCTGTGGTTCAGCCCCTTACTATGCCAGTCTACATGCCACGTATATTTTTAAATACTGGTTGCAACCTTTGAATAAGAGTGGAAAAATATTGATATATTCATTGCTCTTTAGATAG